TTTCAACTAAGTGCAGCTGTTGCTGCCTTTCTGCGCCACCCTGCGTCAACGCAGGCCCAAGGATTCATTATTATGAACGCAAATTACTCAAACTCCCACACACATACACACATCCATGCACAATTAAGTAATGCGTGAGTGTGCGTGTGGAGAAGGGGTTGGGCTAAGCATGTGTGTGTGTGTGTGTGTGCTGTTAATTTTCATATTAAATCCGTTAAAATGTGCAAATACCCAACAGGCATTCACTGAGCACGGACACGAGGCAGGTTGCCCCAGCTAGAGATGGTTGCGTGACACGATAGTCGATTTTTGTTAAGAAATTCTTAATTTAAAATATAAATAGGGCTTGGTTTTATAGATAAAAGTCGAACTTTTACTTTTTAAAATTAAAAGAAGGGCCGATTTTGTGAGTAAAGTTGTATGTTTTTGGGTAATGAATAAGTTATACTATTTTTATAGTTTTTAGCTTTTAAGATGGTTTTTATTTATATAAGGAAACCGGTCTGTATCCCTTGGTAATATATGTATTTCGTGTAAAAATCGTTTGTTTTAAGTGATTTGTCAGTTTTGTTCTTGTTATATTGAATGCGTTTCAAGCGTTGTTGTTTTTAATTAAGTTTAAAAGCACTCTAAAGGCTTATTATTTAAATCTGACAATTAATAAACCCTACAGCAGATAACTCATCTCCTTGATGGTAAGTAACTCTTGAAAAATTCCTAATAAATTCATATAAATGGGTTTATCTCTCTTAAATATTATGAAATCACGTCAACATCTCCGGATCGAACCGCACTAAACATAAAATCCATTCAAGATGAGGCGGCAAGGCAAAGTCAAGTCAAGAAGGACGACCGAGGACGACGATAACGATGATGATGAAGGCAGGCGCGTGCCAGGCCCCCGAGTGGGGAATTTCAATAAACGAGCATCGTGTAAGTAAAGTTATTAAAGGTACTTATACAACCGAAGCCCACAAAACCACACCCGTCACCCGTACCCCCACACAGTTACCTACTTACCTGTGTAACTACTTACATTATGCATATTACTTTCACCCACTTTCCACAACATTTTGGCTCCTGCTGCCTGTTGTTGGCTGTTCAAATGCGCGATATGTAATACCTGGTCTGGGTCGTGGTCTGAAGAATGGGGGTAGGGAAAAGGCGCTAAAGGCATATACTACTTTACACACATCCAACATAACATTTGGAACCCTAAACTCTCCTGCCTCTCAAACAATTTCCCTGCCTAATGGGGTAGAAAGGAAATGTAAGGATTAAGTCAAAATCATGGTTGCTGCTGCTGCTGCAGTAGGTTCTACCGAAAATTACCGAATTTTACGAAACTAATTTGGGTATAATTATGGTCGGAAAATGTTGTGCTATGAAGTGGAGGAGGAAGTGTGCATTATCTTCCAATTAATCTATTTAAAAAGTGAAGATTTAAGCTAGTTAAGTTTTAGTTGTATTTACAATTTACTTACAAAAAGTAAGTACAATTTCCTCCCCCAAGTTGCTATATTTTCGCTATATTTTTGCTATATTTTCGTATATTTTTGTTTCCGTTTCTAACCGGGATCACCTTGACCGTAACAACTTCCAGATAATTGTCAATTAAATGGGTCAGCATATGTGCAGGGCTGCATTCCGGTCCAACAAGCATGTGCAGGTCAGCAACGTTTGACAGAAACAACCTAAAAAAAAAAAGACAAGCACAACTGTACCGCGCGGAGGCAACATTGTGCCAAGCCAACCGAATTGTTAATAACTGGCAACTGGCACGTGCTTACCTGCAGCTAACACGGCTTTCTCCAGCCGCCCCACTTACTCCTTGGCCTTGGTCAACCCATGAAGTTACCCCTTTTGGACCATCCTGAGGATAAAGATGGTCATAAAAAGGCTAGGGGCAAAGAAAACACATTTCCACATGCCCACAAATTAGTGGCACATTTGGGAGAACACACACACACACACATAGTGAGTGTGTGTATGTGTGAGTGTGTTTGGCAATGTGTGTAGTGTGGTTGCATGTGGGGGTGTGTGTCTTTTGCGGCTGTCATGCAGCAAAGTTGCAACCGGCGAACAACCCACAGCAGGCCACAAAAACAGCATTAACTAGCTGACAATCCTTAAAGTGGGCGGAACAAGCAGGAGCAGGAGGAGGAGCAGGAGGAGGAGTACCAGGGGCAGAAGCACGAACAGGAGCAGGGACAGAAGCAAAGGCAGGGCCAGCAGCATGAGCAGGAGCCCGTCCAGGTGCCAAGTTCACAGTAAAATGGATGTCAGGACATTACGTGTGCGGTAAAAGAACATTAATGTAACACTATGTAACCCAAATAGTTGTTCCTTAACATTTAAATAATTTAAGTGACAAGAAAATAAACACCAATCATTAATCTATAATGTTATTTTTTTTACACAAGTCTATATAAGCTTTCCAAAGGGTATTTGGAAATTCCCAAAAGCAAACACCTTTAAAAAAATATTGGTTTCCCGTTTACATTTCTGATATTTCACAGCTTAATTGAAAACCAACAAAGATGTTAATGAAAAAGAAAACCCCCCCTCTCAATAAGCGTACGCAATTTGCAAAAACCATTTCGTGAACATATATGTTTTTATAAAACATTTATGTATGCGTGTGTGTGTGTGTGTGTGGAGCCAGCTGTCAAGGACATGAAATCGGTAGGTATTGTTGTTGACTCTCTCTGTGTCCGTCCGGGCAATGAATAAATCAATAAAGCGCCTTTGGCGCATATATTCATTCCGCCAAAGCTCATTACAAACAATAAACAAACAATAAAAAAGACAAAGCATAAATACAAATAAATAATAAAAAAAAATACGCACAAAAAACCACTTCAAGAATTGATGTATTTATAAAAGTTAAATGCCAGGTTAATAAGGGTGAAAAAATATTTGAAATAATTCAGAGATTTGGGAGTTTTAAAATATTTATTTAAAGTGTTTTTTATTAAGTTTTTGCTTGATAAGAAAATTAAAATAAATAAAGCAAGATATTTTAAAATGTTTAAATATATTTTCCATCATGTAAGTTGATTTTTCTATTGAAAGAAGTGGTTAAAAATTAATCCAACTTAGGTAATGAGAAGTCCATGAAACTGTTCGCCTGGTCTTCAAGTTTAAATATTTTTAATTGCTTAAATTAGTATTAGCCTAAACTTAATATAAAGATTAACGAGATCTTTAAGGTAAAAAATATGTTCTGTACTCAAATTTGTCTTGGTCCCTCCTATGATTGATCAATCTTCTTGGTTTCTCTCTGATCTCAAAGTCTCTCCGGTGATATCTGCTCGTTTATATTATTTATTTTTATTATTTATATTTTTAATAGAAAATTTGCTTACTTATAATTTACTGAGAATATTTTTTCAAGCTTCTATATTACTGAAAAAATTCAAAGCAATAAACAAACTTTTTTAAAGCTCCAAGCTAAGGATGCATACACTGCGTATGCTTGATGTGGGCGTATGCTTAATGTGGGCCATCAAGCATACGAGCCGTGTGCCGCCAGGCCATCAAACATAAATAAAACTGTTGGTCATCATCATTATCACACTCACTTTTTAAAGCCAAAGAAGAAACGATGGCGGCGGCGGCGGCGGCAGGCAATCACACATTTTATGGGCTTTGATTGCTTTTGACATTTATTGATTTATTTGGACAGAGAGACAGAGAGAGGCGGCACTTGTGCGTTCGTGTAAATATTTATAAATTGCTGATATGCAATTAAAAATTACAGCAACAAACTGACAGCTGCCTCAGGTGCAGGCACATGCAAATCCTGTATATCTGAATATTAAGCTTCCATGCAATTGCGGCTTTAGTTTCAGTTTCAGTTTCATTTACCAGTCTCAGTCTCAGCTCTCTCAGCTCTTTAAAATGCAAATTTTGTGGGAAAAGGATACAGAGAGTTTAAGACGGCTCCAATTTTCACAATTAATAATTTTTTAAGAACAGGCAGCATCCTAGGCAGCTCTTATTTATTAAAATAAATATTGAATAGATAAACAAACTTTTGCCTGTGAAAATATAAATATTTCTGTAAATAAGTGAGCTTCATCTGTGCAGCCTTGTTATTAATTATTTGCTAAAATAAATATTAAGAAGATAAATAAACATACAAATATCTCTGTAATTAAGTCAGGTTTATCTATATTTAGCCTTGTCTATAATTATCTTTATTTGCCAGAGCTGTGGATGCTTTTTGCTTTTAATTGAGTTTTGGTTTACAAAGACTGCAAATGAAAGTTTCAATATTATTGCACTAACTAATTAGCTTAATTTGTAAAGGTAAAGGCAGGAGATGCCTCTGCTGCTTTTAGATATTTAATTGCCATTGTTGACTGAGAATCAGTGAGAGTTTAATTGCTATATTGTTTTATATATTTTAGAAACAGAGAGATGGAGAGAAAGGGAGACTTAGGGTTTAAGGTTTAATGTTTTAATAATTCTCTTGAGTTTAAATAGCAATTTAAAAATTGTAATACTTAAATAAAAACTCTATAAACTTGGTAAGCTTCAGCTTTATATTTATTTAAATATTTAATTTACTTAAACAAAGACCAACGGATGTTTCTATTTTTTTTCTAAGAGAATATAATATAATACAAATATAAGAATATTTTCATTTTTAATATAAAATATAATATTATATAATATTATGTAATATTTTAATTTTTAATAATATGATAAGAATATAATTTTATTTCAGAAAATCCCTCGTTAAAATTGTCAAAAATGAGAACAACTTTTCATGTTTTTAAATATAAAATTATTTAAAAATTGTGTATTCTGATCTAATTACCAACTGTAAGGGTATACATACTTTGGCTTCTTTTCTAGTTTTTTTATATATTTCTTTAATAATTTTTATATATTTTTTATATATTTTTTATATGTTTTTTAAATATTTTTTTATTTTAAATAATTTTTTTATATACTTTTTTGGTTAGGGAATTAAAATATTTGTAACTCCCTTAACCATAGTATGTGGTTCGCAGGAGAGCAAAAAACTGATACGACATGCTGATAACCTTCATAAAAGTGTTAAACGAGATGGGCGGAAAAGTGGGCGGTCTAATAGAGGCCGGCTTCTGACTTCGCATTATAATATACTTCAAAATACGCTTGTATTTGCTGCTGCAGGGCAACCAATTCTGATTAAAGGCGGCATGGCCAATGCGAGAGCTCTACAAAGATATAAAATTGTTTAAAAATAAATTTTAATTTTAATAATTACTCACTGATGATATCATTTCATCGCCATAATAGCAAACCACAAACACTTGCACCAGCGAGGCTGAAAAGAATATAAAATACAGCACAATGTCCTCCACATTGGAGGCTGTGATCTGAAAGCCAGCAAAGCATATAACCAAAGAAGCGGCTATAAAGTTCCATAAAATTAAGAAGCTAAAGATGTTGTTAACCTCCTCGCTGAGACTAGAAAAAATAAAGAGAAAATATATAAAGATAATATTTCGTATATTTCTTAACCAAAAAAACCTTACTCCAAAGCTCTTGAATGATACACAACCAAGTCATGCAGATACTTGATATTCTCCTCATCCGTGTGCTCGCCGCCATCGTAGGCCTCCAGGTTATCCGCCAAATAATTAAAATGCATTGTCAACTGGGTAATGGTCGTGATCAGCAGAAGATCCACACAGACATAGGAAACACCAGCCACATAGGCACAATGGGCCAAGCCCCAGTAGGAGAACCAATAAACCGTGAGATCCGTTTCCGCATCATAGGGAAACTGTATATGAAAGCCATAGTTTCGCTCAAAGATCTCCGAGCCCATCAGATAATACTTGATGGTGGATTTTATAGCCGGATAGAAGCTAAAAGATGAAGTGTACGTCATGCAGAGTATGGTAAATAGTGTCATCACACGATTCATGTGCTTCTGGTAGTAGGCCACATGGTAGACGCGCTGACTCTCCGCCTCCATGGGAAATATTTCCTTGAGGTCATCCAGTAGCTTTACCAGACGCTTCCGGTTTACCGTCAGACCAAATTGCTTGAAATCCGCCATGAAACTGAAGCCAATACATGGAGCCACAGCCGTGGCTTCCAGCAGGGTCGTCGTGGAGGTGATGTGCACTATGAAGTAGGCGATTTCACCCACCACATAGGCATTGAAGTTGAGGAAACCCAGGATCAAATAGAAACGCAGCAAATAACGTCGTATTAGATTCGGATCCCGATCCGAATACAGATCCTCGCCGATGGTCTTGTAAAATGTCATCGGGAAGCGGGTAAGGTCCTCGAAGGTCCGCACCTCGTTCTCATCCTGCTGCTGCTGCTTCCGCTTGCGAAACAACATGGCGCCGGTATAATCCCGGTTACCACTGCGCCTATGTCCTTTTATATATATTCCGGGCGCCACGGCGGGGCCATTAAATTGTCATGAAACCAAGCTGACCAGCTGACCAACTGACCTCATAATTACTTAATTGAATTTCGGGTAATTGCAGACACCTGCAAGCCCACAACGGCTTGCTAAAATATTTAGCCCCCCGGAGGTTACCCGCAGGAATGTCCACATGGGCTATATACTGAAGAAAAAAAAGAGAATATACTAGGAATTCTAGATAAACTTTGTATATAAATGATTGTTTAAACCTAAAGGTTTAGGGGGAAAATATAATATTTTATATATAATTTTCAGTAATTTCCTTTTTGGTACTTATAATTCTCAAGTGTAGATTCATTTTCTAGATGGATTTTTTATAAATAAAGGGATTGTCGAAAGGAAAATGAATTTTTCGGTCACTTCAAGTTCTAGAAATAAATAATTCTGAATATTAAATAATACCAACATAGGGATAGGGTAGGTAGGTAGGCTTAAGTGGTTGGGCTCCATCCCGGTAACCTTCAATTAGAGCCAAGCTCTGTTTCCGTTTCCACACCTTCGTTGGGGGAGCTGTCAGCACAGGATTTCAGTCCCTAACTGCCTTCCCACTTCTTCAAGTGACTCTTGGTGGTGTGCTTTTTAGACTTTTTAATAATATTACATATTAATATAAGTTTTAAATATTTCTAAACAATTTTTAAACCATTTTTGTAATCTAAATATATTTATTATAAAATAATTGCTTAAAAAAATGGTTATAATTTATGATGATGAAGTGCTTTTTATACCAAAACTAACTAATATTAAATACTGTTAACTAATTTAAATTTCAATAAATTTGTAATACAAAATTCCTCTTAATTTGCTTATAATTTTATAATTTTATAATTTTCAAGTGTAAGTTCCCTAAATAAAAATTAACAAAAAGTAATGGGTTATAAATTTCTTGAAATGTAAAATAAATAAATATTTAAAGGCATTTCACTTACATTTATTTGTTGTTTCCGTGTGTACTAAACCCTATTTCCGATACAGAATTAATTCAATTAAATTTCAAAAGGATTTGGCGACTGCCAAGCACCAACCAAAGGCAGAGTGGGAGGAATTGACATCAAAGACAAGTTGGCCAATCAAGTGGCAACTGTAAGTACCATTGTGCCCCCGGAGTAGCCCCCTTGAGCCAGTTATATATCTATATATATATATCCCTACTTGGGTTTTGACGAATGCGGCTTCCATAACTCCTCCGCAACTCCCTTGTCTCCCAGAGTCTCCTCTTCACATTTGGCATTTCGATGTTCAAAAGGTTTCCACAGAATGCTTCAAATATTCATTAGAAATGCCAGCGAGAAGCGCCTTTTGTCGCTAATATATACATACGTATATGGTTTATATATATATAGGGTTTATACGTATATCTTAATCTGCGAACAATATGTTGTTGTGTATGTTAGGTACGGAGGTGGATTTCTCATTGGCCGTAAGTGAGTAAGTTGAGGATTTTATCGAGTGTTGGCCAGGCAGAACAAAGGCCGAGATTCAGGGATTTCCATTTGCAGAACAATGGCATCCTAATGTAAATTCACTAATAATGCCAAGCCAAGAGCTATTGACCCGCTTAATTATATGATGTATTTCATAAGATTTCAAGTGGGGATTACAGTTGGGAATTTAATTAGCTAAGAACTAACGGGGGTTATTTTAAAATAAAGTTGAGTTTAAAGGGAAATTCTTAAAAACCAGAGGTTTTTTCTAAAAAAAGAAATATAGCCATTATACTTAACTTCAAGAATTTTCTACATATTATAAGTCTTAAATTTTTTTAATTTAAAAATTAATTTTAAATTTTACATTTTATTTAAATAATTTTCAAGTTTTAAGAATTTATAAACATATTATAGACTTTAAATTCTATTTCATTTTTTTTTATTTATTTATTTTATTTATTATTTATTTTTATTTTATTTATTATTTATTTTTAGTTTATTTATTATTTAATTTTATTTTATTTGTTATTTATTTTTATTTATTTGTTATTTATTTTATTTATTATTTATTTTATTACTTATTTATTTTATTTATTATTTATTTTTATTTTATTTGATTTTTTTTATTTAATCATTTTTTTTACTTAAAAAATTTTATAAATTTTTTTTTATAACAAAAAAAAAATGTACTTTGGTAGAATAAATATTAATAAAATTATTTAATTTGAATTTACTCTTAAAATTTGACTAAAATCACATAAAGACAAGCTTTCAAACCCATTTTAATATATTTTTATTTGTTATTTAAATTTTGGGTACATAAGTTCGATCCAATTAGACATATGTATGTATATATATTCATATAATTACCAACACACAGCATAGCACAAAACACACACAAAATAGAAAACATTCCTGATCCTGGGACACTGGAAATTACATCGAAATTCGATGATTTGTTTACCTTACGCTTAGTTTGCGGTTAAAGTTTTGCAATTAAATGCTGCATAAATTACATGTCTGGCGAATGCGTCAAATAATTTACGGCAAATTGAAATTAATTTGAGTTATATATTTACAGACATGCACAAACAGATATTCAAATACGCATTTTCTGTCTCTGCAAAATCATATCAAATGTAAACTTTAATAATAATATTCAGGCAAAAAAAAATCGGACAGAAAGGGGAGGCCAAGGCAGCAGATACAGACTTGCAGGCGCCACATTATGACTCTGGTAATTAGTATAAAAAATACTTAAATATATATATATTTTACGCTTGTGGGCTCTGAATGTGAAAATGAGAAGTGTATATGCAAATTAGTGTCTGTGTGTCCGGGCAAACAATTACATTGGAGATATCAGTGCTCATTGGGCTAATAATTGATTTAAATATTTGCACATGGAAATTCAAAACGACTCCGGGGCCAACGGAATATGCCAGCAATGAGAATATATTTTAATTCGAAGCGTTGACTCAATTATTAATGCAAATTAATTGTGTTGCCAGTTGCAGCAAGCGCATCTGTCACGGTGTTGTCCACCACGTACCATGTACTGAATGTCCTTTGTTTGTTTTTTCAGCTTTTCCTGAGGTAGGGAGGCGCTCCTGAGATGGTAGAAATTATATCTTTTTAGATAATTTAATAAGTTTAAACCTGAGAAACGTTCATTAATGTTTTATATATATTTTTAAATAAGATGTATGACAGCTTTTCTGCTTATTTAATTGATTTTTTCCCCTGCCAATTCCAGTTTCCTATTTTAATTATTTAAATAGCATTGAAAAAACCATCTGTAGTTGCTCAATTATAAGTTATTAGTTATCAAAGTTTGATTTAATTGCCATTAAATTGTTCACAAACTTTTATATGCTTGGTCAATTTCGGGGAATCCCCAGGATTGGCAATTTAAAATAACCCCTCCCCAGTGTGTGTGTGTGTGTGTGGTGTGTGGGAGGCAATTGGTAGAAAATTCTGCAACTTTCATAGGCCGTTGGGCTTTCCGATTTTGTCCAAAGGGCAAACACTTCCATCACTTGTCGATATTTTCCCAATGCAGCCAGAGCCCAGAAATTTCTATTACAATTTTTGGCTCCATTTTTTTTTCTTTTTTTTTTTACCGCTTCCAGGTTGAACTATCAAAGGCCAAAGGCACTCTATGTGTGTGTGTATGTGTGTTTTCCTTTCCACGCCCTTTTCCCCACCAGCATTTTCCCATTTTCCAGCTGAGAATTGAGCTGTCGGCTGTCCACACAGCAAAAGGAAATGCTGTAGGAAAGGGTATTCTCGACCATCAAATTATTCTGAGACATTTTCGAGGAAAATCCCTGGGTAAAACTTTCCCCATAAATTCCACTTCAAGTGGTCTACATTCCCGGGGACCAAAAGGTATTTTGCAAAAATCTCTATTCTTTGCCCCAGCTAATTTTAGTTATTTTAGAGAGTTTACTTTTGGGATTATATATATATTTTACTATAAAGTTGGAAGGAGGAGGTTATTTTCATAACCTTGGAAGGATTATAGTTTAGGTCTAAAGCTTACAACTCAGCAAAGGAGTTATTTCTGATCCTATAAACCATATATATTTTTGATCAGAATTAACAGCAGAATCTTTTTAGACATGTCGGAAAGAAGAAATAATATTTTGAATTTTTTAAAAAAATTTTTAAGGGGTTTAAGCGTAAAAATGGTAAACAAAATTAAAAATTTTATATTTTTTCAAATTATAAATTTAGCATGCTGATTTGTTTACCTAGAAAAAACTAGCACAGAAAAGCTTTCCAAATTGAATTTAATGCTTTTTTGGCTTAGTTATGGAATTTTTAATTTTTTGTTAATTTTAATTTTTTATCTTTTTTTTTATATAAAAAGTTATATTGACTTATTTAATTTATATTTTCAAAGAAATAATTGTTAAATAAAATTTAAAAACATTTTTAAATCCCCTAAAGAGCTTATAAGAATATTAAACTAATAATATATATAACAAAACATCGATTAATTTGAATTCTTGCATATGTGTTCAAAAAATAATATAAATGGTCCGTTCTATTCTAAAGAAAAATAAAAAAAAATGCCCTGAAAAACCAATATAATACTAGTTTATTGCAGGACTCATTGAAAAATCGAATGAAGAATTCCTTGCATAGCACATCCCTTTTTGCGAGAGCATCAAACTTCGTTTTACATTCATGTGTTTTCTTCTTTTTTTTTATTACAACCAACTATGTTCTCCCCTTGTTTTCCTCCCGGGTTTTTTTTTCTTTTTTTTTTTTGTTCTTTGTTGGCATAATATTCAAATTGGTTGGCCGGGCAAAGAAATGCAAACTCAAAGAAGTCCTTTCTGCTCGCGTACCTTCGATGCACATTTTCCATACCTTCGGGATGGATTTTAGCAGGTGAAGCTGGGGGGACTGCTTCCGACACTTTCGACCTTCTTCTTCCTTGGCCCCAACATTGTTTTCGAGAAGGAGCAAAAAAAAAAAAATATATCCGAGAATGTGGCCTCAGTCAAAGGCCAGGCAAATCTGCCCGAAAGAGCGTAAGGAAAACCATTAAATGCTCAATTTGACACACACGCAGGTGTAGAATAGTAAGGGGGAAAACTCCATTTAATTGCACTTTGAGCATAGCATTTTCTTGGAATCTCTACAAAAGGTGAAATCACCGAAAGAAAATGCAAGAAAATCAACTTAAATTGCTTAAAAATTCTTCACTGCCATTGCCTCCTTTACTTCCTTTTCTTCTTCTTTCATTTATGGCTACTTAACGGTAAAAGTGGGGTATCTTCCGCCCAACGGAATACAAGGATATAAAGAAAATTCTTGCAATTTATTGACTACCACAACTAGCGGACAGCGTCCATTGATTGCCAATTGATTTGTCTAGTGTGTTTTTTGCCTGTGTGTGTGTGTCTGTTTGTGTGTGGGCGTGGTCGAAAAGGGGCGTTTTTCCTAGGGGCGTGGCAGGCGGTAAAGTGTGGCCAAACTTACAGCACAGAAGTCAAAGTTGATCGTTGCATTTTGGGGCGTGTGTGTGTGTTTAACAAGCTTAACCCTTTAAAGGTTCTTATTATTCCATTATCCTTGCAGAAATCAGTTGGGAATTATAAGCAAATGAAACAACATTAAATAAATAAAATAAAAATTATCAAGAAATTATATCATTTTTTGTAGATGTTTTAAATGTTCTTTTTTTAATAATTTTTTTTTTTTTGAGAATACCTTTTTTTATTTGAATATATTTTCTACATGATAGAACCACTTGGGAATTATAAAAAAAAATAAAGAAAATATAAAGAAATAAAATAATTCAAATTTATATATATTTTTATGTAGATTTTCAAAGTATTTTTAGTAATTATATTATATTAATATTTATTTTATATTTTCTTTACCTTAATTTGTATTAAATAATTTATTTTACTTTAATTTTTTTTTTGTATATAGTTTTTAGTTTAAGTTATATTTATTTCCCCTTGTGGGTTAAACAATTTCACACTTAACTTATGGGCCATATGAACAAGAGGAGCTGTCCAGGACTTACATATTCGTTAAATTTACAGCAGAGAGACCGAGGACGAGGTCGTCCTGGACGTGAATGGAGACAGGCACACCAACCGCATAGCTTATGCAGACGAGACCGAGAATGGCGAATGGCGAATGGAGAATGGAAGTGGAGCCCCCAGCTCCAGTCCGGACCCGGATCCGGGGCCCATAGCCGTATTCTCGTATCCGTGCCCGGACTCGCACACCGGAGCGAGCCGGAGGAGTGATGGCTCGGGATCCCCCTTTTGGCCCGGTACAGGAGCAGCGGAAGAGGGATCCTGAGCCGGAGCAGAAGGCAGAGAAGTCGGTGGCAGTTGGTAGTCGGCAGACAAAAGCACGCAAAAACTTTGTTGCAAAACACTTAGCACACACATACTCCACGAACACACACTGAAAGCCTAGAGAATGTTGACCAGGCGGCCAAGGTTTACAATTCATATTGCCTTTAGGGGTTTATTATTGTTATAATTATTTATTTATTATTATAATTATTTATTATTATAATTATTTATTTAGTATTATAATTATTTATTTATTATTATAATTATTTGTTTATTATTATATATTATTGGGTATTTTTACCCCAGAGTTAAATGTTGTTATTTATTTAATTCTTTTTAACTCCTAACCTTATTTTTTTTGCTAAATCTAAATTAAAACCAGACCACAGCCGTCACTTCATTACTGGGATTCTAGAACAGGTTGAGAATTGTAAGCGCCCTACATTTGAGAAAAATAATAAATAAACCCTAAACTTCGGCACCCCAAAGTTTGCAATTGGATAATTAAGAATTAAATTATTGTTATTGTTAACTAGAAAAATAAATAGCAAATAATTGAATAATATACATTTTTTTAAACCTGTAAATATATTTTTAAAATAAATTTTTAAATTTTAAATATAAATTCCCTATGCCAAGACATGGTTTTCGTTACACTTGTCGCCTGATTTTTGCATGTTAAATGCGCGCCGCCACACATTTCTCATTGAGTGCGGCTATGTAGAGTGCGAGTGCGAGTGTGCCGGCCTGGGTGTGTGTGTGTGGTGTGCGTGTGTCTATGTGTGTATTGTTGTGCATTGTCTGGTTAGTCCTTTCCGCATATATTTGAAAATAAAGTTACGACAAGTTGCACTCAATTTTCAGCATTTACTGTCAGCGCACAGGCACGCCACGGCAGCCAGTTGAGCAGTGCCAGGGAGTACAGTACAGTACAGTACAGTGAAGCCTGGGTGGGAGATGGGTGGAAGGGGTACTGGGGGGACTCAACAAAAACTGTGTCAGGCTGGTTGGTTGGTTTGGTTGGTCTTTGTTGGACACTGGGCAAAAACAAAAGCCAAGCAAACGCATAAAACGCTTGAAATGAATACGTGTATTAACCCCCCTACAGCTGCTACTACCCTTAACCCCCCACTCTACAGTCAAAGCAGCCTTGCTATCGTGTATTGCAGGCGCATCCGCAGAACCCCAGCTTGGCCACCTCTTGTCCTGGTCTGGCTGGTCCTATGCGATTTGGAAACATTTTCATTATGCCCTGCTGACATGGTGGAGGCTAACAGCAATTTGATTATGGATATGTATAGTATATAATATATATATTATATACTATATATATGATATATATTTATATAAAGTAATCATATCTCTTAGAAACTTATAAACAATATTTATTACATTTATTTATATATATATATGCTTTTTTTCAAATTTTTAAAATTATATTTTTCACAAGTCCTTATTTTCAGTTGTGAGATTACTAAATATAGGGTATTTCAACTTCTAATGCATTCGTAATACGTTGTCCTAGTCGAAAATTAACCCAATTATTCCACCTGATGGGATTTCTCATTAAAACTGAGCTTCTTAATGCACAGAAATGCACAAGACTAGTAGCTTAAGATCCTTTAGTCTTAAAGAAGTTAGACTTTTAATATTGTAAAGGTATTTAAAATATACAGTATTGGATTTTGGGTACAGTTTATCTTAAGATTCTTATTATTTCAAACTATCAGTTCCTAAAAAAACATTTTCACATGTCTTAATCCTTGGCCTTTTCCTGTGTGTCTCAAACCCGGAATTCATTGATCCCGGAAGAGTTGACCAAGTCAAAGTAAATTCCTTGAACTGCTGCTGCTGCTGCTGCTGCTGATCATGATAAGCGACTTTGCCAAGGACAAAGCAGCCAGGACACACACACACATACCAAGTGCGTGGAACGGTGAAAAGGATGCGAGGGATGTGAGGTTTTGTGAGGATTGTGGTGTCTCGTGTGGTCGGCGTGACTTGTCACTTGTCACCTCGGCACCATTCTCAATGAGTCCGAATGCGGTTGCACTTTTGTTGAAAAAGTGTCGCTGCAGGACTCGGCCACCGGAGATAAGCTCGGCAGGTGGTCCTTTAGGTACTGGTTATACTTCTCCTACTCCTCCAACTCCACCTCCACCTCATTCCCGTTCAGATGCATTTGCATATGGAATTATGTCTGCGATGCGTGTGGGAGGTGAAAAACCCTGGACATGTGGAAATGGAAATGAAACTCATAATGGGCCAAACACACACACACCCACTGAAATGTGTCACAACATGCTGGCTGGTGGGATGCCAGCTGTCACAGCCTCCCCGGCAGCTGCAAAGTGTATTTAAATCTCCAACAAATTAGCTTAGAAAATTAGCTGCTCATAAATCTCTCGGCGAACATAAAAAAAAGAGCGAGAGAGAGAGAGAGAGAAAGGAGAAAAGCGGGAGGAAAAGCGGTGAAAAGCTGAGAAAAGCACAAAGAGAACACGGCCTGACATTTCAGACACGTCTGAGTGGCAGTTGCGACAGCATCTGTCATTGGTTTCAGCTTGCAGTCTCTTCATTTTCCATTTTTCATTATCCCATTAAGGATTGGATTTCCTTTTAATGTCATTTGTTTAAATAACATTTATTGTCTGCTTATTTGGGATCCATAACCTGCGGAGATTCCTTACGCTCCTGAATATTCAAACGTGCCATTTTGCTGTAGACCTCCAACAGGCGGAGGATCGCCTGGACATGCTGACGATGACGCATTAGTTTCATTAGACCCTTGCGATCTCCAGCCTCCTTGGCACTTTTTAAACCCTTATTGATGAGATGGAGGGCATGAATTGGATGGATAACAATCTTGCCCGGCTTGCGTCTTGGTGGACCCATAATGGCGTCCAGTTCCGGGCAACTCATGTGAAAGATACACGATTTCTTGGTCTTGCGCTTGGGTTGCCGTTTCTTCACAATCTTGGCGAGTTTGAGTTTCATTCGCATCGCATAAAACATGATGACCTTGAGAGGGGTTTAATTTCAATTTAATTTAATTGAAAATCTTAAATAATAATTTGAAATAAACTCACCTTTTTGGGTTTCTTCTTGTTCACCTTTTGGAGCTAATCTAAAAATTCATAAAAAATGTACATAATTAATATCAAAGGAATGGAATTTAATGATGGCCAAGTCTATGATAGCTTGATTTAAAAATGTCCGGAACTCAAGGCTTCCTGGAGTTAAGTTTTTTAGTTTTATTTTTCAATTAAAAGTCAGAGCTTTGGTTTCTTTTATATTTGCAAATAAAATGCGGGTTTTCTGCTTGTTTTTTTAAACTCAAAATTACTTAAGTTTGTTTTTATTTCTAGATTTTATTTGATAAGTTCTCTTTATGTTACTTTACAGTGGCACGTGCTTTTCGTGGGTCAATCGCAGACTGACCAGAGTCTCAATTTTTACTTAATCCCAAATTTTTCTTTCAATAAAAATAATATTTTATATTATATTGGAACAGCGAAATGGAAACATAAATGTGAAAATGTTACTTTAAGAAGTGTCAAATGCATTAATATTCATATTATTTTATTTTTAAATAAATAATTAATAATATTTATTTTATTTTATTTTTAGAATTACATTTTAAAATTAAGTTTTTAGGATTAAAAAATTAATTATGATCTTTTTAAATAATATGTAGAGTTTTCTTTATTTTATTTATGAAAAGATATACCTTTTATGTAATTATTTATTAAATTAAAATAATTGTTGAATAATAATTGTTGTTTTCCCACTTTTTCCCAATTATATTGTTCGATACATCAAATATAGATACATATATTTATTATTATTAAAAATAATAAAATGAAAAGAAAATATGAAAAAATCTTAAATTAAGATTTTAGCTTTTCTATTCTAAATCCGCTTTTCCAATTTTATTGTAAAAATAAAAATAAATAAATTAGAATCGAGATTGATAACCTGAAAACAGTCTTAAAAATAATAATTAAATTAGAATTATATTAGCCATACCTTGACTTAAAATCCAGAATAATTTCAGCTTCAGAAGCTTAACTTTAGGCATCTTCAACCTGTTTTTTTGTACCTTTTTTGCAAGCTTCATTTTAAAGTTATCACCACAGTTATCAGTTAATTAAGGCTTATAAATTGTTGAATAAATTTTTAATGATTTTAGGAAAAGTTTCGCCCCATTCGTTTTGATTCACTTTCACTCCTCCCCCACCTAAAATGTTGGCCCTTATCAAAACGAAGTTTGTTTCCTCATTTTCTGCATGGCCAGCACGAGGGCAAGACAGCTTTTTCCTTCATTTTTCGAGGGCGTTGGACACCGGACTAACTTGCGAATGCAATGTACATTAGTTGCACACACACGTTCCGGCTACCCAAGCACCACCCCCCTGAGAACAGAGGCGTAGGGGTATTTTTTAGAGGACTTAAATACTTAAAATAAATTTATTTCATAGATTTTTGGGTATTTTGACAAGATTTTAAAATAATTTCAAGCTTTTTTTTTCAATTTTTTTTCGTTGATTTAAATAATAAAAATTAGTTTTTTTTTTGTTTTAAAAATTAAAATATATAAAAAAAATTTAAAAAAAAATGTAAATAAACCATTTTTAAATACAAAACTTGACCCTCCCTCTAAGTCCCCTGCCACTGCCCCAAATAAAGTAACATTTTGCCCAGGACCTTCTTGGGGGGTCCTAGCACATGGACCATATAAGGACGAAGTGGGGGACAAGAAATAAGTTGTAAACTGCAGCACAAAGAGGGGTAAAGTGGGGGGATAGAGGAACTTGTGACGGCAATTTCCAAGCAGTTAAAATAATTGCAACAAATTTTCAAGTTTTCCTTATTATCCCTTTTTGCATGCTCCTGCACATATAATCCAAAGCAAACAACGAGGCAAGGGGAACGTCCTGTCTGCGAGAGCTTCACCTCCAGCTCCTGCTCCCGCTTCAGCTCCAGCTCGAGGCGGCAGCCACATAAATGTTTTAAGCTGTTGTGAATTATGGTAATGAATGTCAGCGCAAACTTCCGGATGCCTGGGCTCAGACCGAAGACCAGACCCCGGCTAAAGCCATGCCACCTGCTCCTCCTTCTCCTCAGCTTGCTTCTGGTGTGAGGTGGTGTGTGTGTGTGTGTGTGTGCCTTTTGTTTTGACCGTCTTTTGTTCTCGGCCACGTCGCCACTCGACATTGGCCAGCGGCAATACGCCGCCGCCGCCGCGTCGGAAATGCAACGTTTTCAACTGCATGCGAAACATAATTGACAAACGCTTTACACTGGCAGAGGGGGGGAAAAGGGAGGTAAACCCTGGTACTAAGATCTATAGAAAGTTTCAGGAAATTTTAAAACTAACATTTTCTTAAAACAAATTTATAGCAATTTAAAAAATATTTAAAAAATTAATTGTGTTTAATAGTTATTTGAAACAAATTTTAGAAAAATTTTTAAAATATTTTAAAAATATTTTAAAAACATATTGTGTTTAGAAAAAAAACTTTCCAGTGAAAAAGAAAGCGGAAGGTACTTCTTTTTCACAGGGAACTTTTTTTTTTGCTGAATGCTATTTTTTTAATATATTTTAAATTGTAAATTTCTATAAAATATTTTTTTTTACGTTTTTGAAACGTAAATATAACTAAAAATTAAAACCCTTTTTCTTTGAAACCATTTTAAAATTAAAAAAATATATTTTTAGCATAGATTTTTGTGTAATAATTATTTTTTAATTTTATTTTAAATAATATTAAAAATCAAACATTATATTCAAACCACTATCCCAGATATTCAACCAACAAAAGAAGAATATTAAATTTTCACTTTTGCGCATCACAGTGATTACTTTAATTGGTTAAGTTCATGGTTACCAAGGTGGTGCCAAGTTTTTTCCTTGGGGGACGAGTATTCCCTGGGTTGGTACCACTGTGCAGGGCGCGGGCTTGCCGCAAGACAATGCCACAATCCGCAACAATGCTACTGCTGCTGTTGCTGCTGCTGCAAGTCTGCCGCGCAAGGCCTGCCCCTGACCAGAGGAGCGCATCCTTTGGGGAATCCGCGCCAAAGGACACGGCAAGGGAGCAGCAAAAGCAGGAGGAGCAGGAGAAGGAGGAGCCACAGGCACTCCTGATTTATGGCGGCGCGCATTGCCATTTTTACCTGTCCATAACAAATTGGACACCAGTTGATAGAAGCGCCAACTTGTCGCAATGCAGCAGGCGCCTTATTGCGATGTCCCCCCCCTCCTACGCCCACTTCAGGAAAACCTCGGTTTTCCATGGTTCGTCTTTTCCGTTGCCTTTCCACCCCCGCTTTTCTTTATTTTTCTTGTTTTTTCCTCGCTTTTACCCTTGATTTTCCCTCCTGTCATTGAGAGGAAATTGCTTATTGGACGGGGGAGTTAATCGAAAACAATCACAAGTTATCGATAAGTATCGAGGAACAAAGGAGCTGAATTTAAATTTGTTGAAGTGGAAAAAAAGAGAAAGAAATTGAGTGTAGTTCCAATGAGAAGTAAGCGGTATTTAAATTTAAAATATTTAAAGCTTCAATTTATAGTTTGGTAGTTTAGGGAAAAGTGAGTTCAAGTTTTGCTTAATTTATAAGAAAATTTTAACTAAACAATATTATTTAAAAACTCTATATTTATCTCTAAGATATTTCTCTTTTAATATTATTATTTTAAATATATAATAAAAAAAAAAGGCACACTGAAACTTAAATAAAAATATTTTAATAATATTTTTGCCTGGCAGTGGCCTTTTAACTGTAGTTTCTTTTTCCAGTTTCCTTTTTGTTTTTGCCAGTAAAGCAAGTTTGTGTGCGTTGTGATTTTATTCAATTATTTCTTTATTCAACGCAATTACGCGAAATAATTGATTGTAGAAAATAAAGTAAAGATTGGCAATAATCCGCAACTAATTGAGCATTTATATCGGATAAATTCTCTCGCAGAATCAGAAATTGAAGCTTAAGCTTTCGCTGGTGCCCCAAATGGACTTGTGACAACTTAAGCGATGAGTTAGTTATCTTGTAATGCTGCCACGCCCCCGGAGGCCAAGTTGTAATTTCGTTAATCGATAAAGTGTCAGATTAACAACGCTCAACAACGGTAATGACAGCCAACGGGGGTCTTCGCAATGGATATGCAATGTGCCATTGACACCTTCAGTTTTCGGTGCCACGCCCACCACTTACGATGCACAAACCAAAGACAAATCAGCTCAGAGGAGAGAGACTTCACCACGCCCCCCCTCTATATACTGAATGTCGCATTAGTCACTCAAAGAGGATGTTTGATTAAATAAGCTGCCACACACACACAACACACTGAGAGCACTGGGGGAAAATTTGAGGTATAGTCTAAGTCTCAGTCTATGTCCCTCTCCATCTCTCCCTGGTCATCTTCATTCATGATAGGTTAAAACCAGTTGGGAATTATATGTGCACTTGTGCTAAATTTTTATACAATTGCAGGGTATTATAATTTGAGTCAGAGCTTTCTTTCTTGTTTATATAAGTATATAGTTTTTCTTAAAATCTTAAAAATAATATTATGATAAATAATATTAGAAATAATAATATAAAATTTAAATAATATATATATTTTTTATTAAAAAATATGAATATTATCGCCTAACTATCTGCCAGGCACGTTGACAGCCATCGATAACCATGATACATATCCATGTTGCTTAACGTGATGCACTGCATCATCACTTGCCTGGCCAAGATCTATGTTTTCCGGATTGATCAAGGTGGTGAATATAGACACAGCTTCAGAGAGAACTGACATCGGGAAAGATTTAAGAAGAGGTTACGAAAAATATATAATATAAATCTTATATATATTCTATTTTTATATTTTGTATTTTTTCAGTTTGTATTTTTCTTAAATATATAAAAATAGTTGTATTAGTGTAAAGTTGATAGTGGGGTAGACAGCTGCTACATAATCCCTACAGCCCTCGAAATGCTAAAATCTGAAATTGCACTCGATGCCCGATGCGCTTCATTTAACGGGAATTCAAATTCGATTAGCCAAAAGTGTTCGTGTCCGTATCGAAAGCGAGACAGGGAGAGTGAGAGTGAGTCCTGTCCGCATACGCAACCACAGCCGTGTCCAGCTTCAGCTTCTCCATATCCATAGGATCCGCCATCGCCTCCAACTGCATCTGCTTTTGCGATATCCTGAA